TTGCATCTGAAGAAGTGAGGTTCTTACCCACGAAAGCTTATGCTCCCAATACTTCTGCTAGTCTTAAAGGTGCCACAGGACCCTCTGTTGCTCTAGTTCATTTTGGCAGCATCTGTACTAGGTGGCATAGTGAAATCTTCAGTGAGCTTTTCCAAGCAGTTTGAGAAAAAGGCCACACTTTCTCAACAACAGGGACACATTGTAAGCTTAGACATTCACTGAACCATCTGCCATAATGGTGTACAGATTTCTGGCAGTAGCACTTCTCTATAGTAGTGTATGGTTGGTTTGTTTTGGTTTTTTTAAGTTAGCTAACATAGGTACTTTGACTTCTCACACATTTCACAATGGTCAGTTTTCTGATATGTGAAGATCTTTTCTGTGGTTCTTCTGTGTATGTTAATTGTCACATAAGTATTAAAGATGCATAGACTTTTGAGGCAGGTTTCTGCCCTTTCCATTGTACAAGTCACCAAAATTTCTGTCCCAGAGCTTTTATTAAGGTAATTGAGACATTTGTTCAAGTAGAGTAAAACACTTCAACAGAATTCTGCATTCTACATGGTAAAGAAGATACATAAAGAACCTCATGCTTCATTTAATATTCACTATTCCAGAAATGACTTAATTTCTCATATACAGTTAGCCACTTTTACTTGTGTGAAGTTCTAAAGTTTATGTCTGGAGACACTGAACCACAGTTATTTGTCTAAAATACTTGCAAGAAAAAATAGCCCGTGCTCTTCAGTGCAGCTTCTTCATCTTCAACTTCTTCAACTGGTGTTAAGGGTTCACATGAATTATTAGGCTATCTATGTCCATAAAGAAAAATGTACTGCATTGTTTACTCTTTTATTGGTGATGTTTGAGTTCTTTTGGTCATCCTTTGAGAATCCCTAAAGGACCTCCCTTATCAATACATAATACATAATGCTCCCCATCAAGGGCTCAATTCTTCTAGGGCCTCTACTCTCATTGAAATAAATGAGTAGAGGGTGGTCAGACCCCAAATGAACAGTGATCAAAAGGCAAGAAAATAAAGAAAGATCACAATGTTAATTTTTCCTCTCCAGACGCGTTTCAACCAACACCTTACCAATGTCAGCAATCATGATTCTGCCCTGGATGATGATGACGATGATGAAATGGACAGAACAAGCAAGTAAGCAACCTGTGTGTGTGAGAGAGACAGAGAGAGACTATATGTATGTCAGTGTGTCCCACAAATGGATTTTTAAACCAGTTGAGTTCACATGAGTGAATATTTTGCCAATGTGACTCCTGACCCAAAAATTGCTACATGTTCTAGTGTCTAATATGGAAATAAAATCCTTCTTTTAGTAGCAGAGAAACAGGGGCAGCATATTATTACTATTATTTATTTGTATTATTATAGCACCAAGGAGCCCTAGTCATGGACTAGGACCCCTTTGTGCTTGGCACTGTACACTCAACAAAAGGATGGTCCCTCTCCCAAAGAGCTTCTATCCACATGCAAGACAAGAGACAACAGACTGATACAAACAAATAGATGAGGTAGTGCCAGGAAACAAGGAGACAATATTGGTCAGCATGAAAGTCAATGATCTCAGCACACAAGCAGCCTAACCATTGTCAAGTCTTTTGAAGGCATCACAGCAATGTAGCGCTTTTAGGAAGTTTTTGAAGGAGAATAATAGGTAGTTTTGTGGATTTTTCTACCCAAATGTAAGGCATGTGGGGAATAAACATTCTCATAAACAGACTAGGGAAGTGTGGTCTTCATGAAATTACTATACGGGGAGTTCACAACTGGTTGAAAGACTGTACTCAAAGTATCAGGGGGTAGCCGTGTTAGTCTGTATCCACAAAAACAACAAGGAGTCCGGTGGCAGCTTAAAGACTAACCGATTTATTTGGGCATAAGCATTCGTGGGTAAAAAACCTGACTTCTTCAGATGCATGAAAGCTTATGTGGATAAAAACCCCACATTATGTGCATCTGAAGAAGTGAGGTTTTTTACCCACGAAAGCTTATGCTTTATAAATCTGTTAGTCTTTAAGGTGCCATCAGACTCCTTGTTGTACTCAAAGTGTAGTTATCAGTGGTTCACTGTCAAACAGGCGGGATATATCTGGCGGGATCCCACAGGAGTCTGTCGTGGATCCAGTACTATTCAATATTTTCACAAAAGACTTGGATAATGGAGTGGAGAGTATTCTTATAACACCAAGCTGAGAGGGTTTGCAAGCACTTTGGAGGACAGAATTAGAAATAAAAAAAAACCTGGATAAATTGGAGAATTGATCTGAACTTAATAAGATGAAATTTAGTAAAGACAACTGCAAAGTACTACACGTAGGAAGGAAAAATCAAATGCACAGCTACAAAATTGAGAATAATTGGCTAGACTATAGTACTGCTGAAAAGGATCTGGGAATTATAGTGGATCATAAATTGAATGAGTCAGCAATGTGATGCTGTTGCAAAAAAGGCTAATATTATTCTGGGGTGTATTAACAGAAGTGTTCTATGTAAGACCTAGGAGGTAATTGTTGTGCTCTAGTTTCCACTGGTGAGGCCCCAGGAGCTGAAGTAGTGTGTCCAATTCTGGGCACCACACTTTAAGAAAGACAAATTGGACAGAGTCCAGAAGAGAACAACAAAAATTATAAAAGGTTAGAAAACCTGATCTATGAGGAAAGGTTAAAAAAACTGGGTATGTTTAGTCTTGAAAAAAGGAGAGGGGACCTGATAAGTGTCTCCAAATACGTTAATCACTGTTATAAAGAGGGTGGTGATTGATTGTTCTGCATGTCCACTGATGGAAGACAAGAAGTAATTGGCTTAATCTGCAGCAAGGTAAATTTAGGTTATATAATTAGAAAGTTTTTCCTCATATAAGGATGGTTAAGCACTGGAACAGGCTTCCACGGGAGGTTGTGGAATCCCATTACTGGAAGTTTTTAAGAACAGGTTAGACAAACACCTGTCAGGGATGATCTAGGTATACTTGGTCCTACTTCAGCACAAAGGGCTGGACTAGATGACCCTTGCCGCCCTGCATTTCTATGTTTATGAAGGGCTTTTTCCTAGCAGGAGGAACAGCATGGGAGAAAGCATTAAGGTATTTGTTTGGAAAAATGATGAGTGGGCAATGAAGGCTGGCATCATGGGCTAATTGGAGACTTGAGTCAACATCTCAATAGTGAATGAAAGATGATAAATAGTATGGGGATACATCATGAAGGGTCATGGAAGTGAAGTCAAGCAGCATATGTGAGGGCACTGAAACTTGTGCCTAACGGGTCAGGTGGGACATCAACGTGGAAGTTGAAGTCACCGAGGATGAATTTGGGAGATTGTGAGGAGAGGAGAGAGAGTCAGGAGACAAAATCAGAGAGGCAGGCTGATGAGGAGTTGGGTGGATGATAGATGAGAGCAACAAAGGGAGTTGGGGAGAGGAGAGAAGGTGCTGTCCAGAAGGGAAGGAGGAGGGTGCAGTGCTGTCCAGAAGGGAAGGAGGAGGGTGAAGGGCTTGGAAGCGACAGGAACAGGAGAGGAGAATCTCAACACCCCTACCATGATCCAAAGCAGGGAGTCTGTGAGAAGGAGAGGCCTCCATAAGAGAGGGGAGCTGCAAAGGCAGTGTTAGATGAAGGGATCCAGATCCCTGTGAGAGCCAGGGGCTGGAGATAGCCAGATATGAAGAAGTTGTGATCTTTTTAGAGATGGAGTGACCATTACAGAGATGGTAAGAGAAGGGGAGAAACAAAGGAGTGGGGAAGAAGGGGAATGAGCATGAGTGTAGAAATGGTGGTGGCGATGAGTGTGGGAGGTGGAGACGGAGGGAGGGCTAGGACTGGGGTAGATGTGGGACCTAAATTAAGAAGAATGCAGACGGGGGACCTATATTTGTGCTGGTGGGAGTCGCTGACTTTCATTCTCTCCTTCCAACCACTTGGCTACAGTTGTTGCATCCTGCTGTAGTTTTTAACTAGAATGGTAATAAGCATTGAGATTGGCGTTACACTTGGTGCTGTTCTCCCTTACTTTGATGAATAGAAAAAATATCTACATGCTACCAGTAGCGGCATGATTTTTCTCCTTGTTTATTAATGGTGTCTATGTTATCATTTTCCAGTCAAATGCTGTTAATATGTAGACCATATTCTAAAAGGCTGTTTGTTTGTACTCTGTGAACATTATTTTCATAATGATACGCATAAAATAAATCCATCACTACTTAATGCTTGCTTTACAAGACCTGGCCTCCTTTTTTGTTCCTGTATGTTACTGGGGCATGTAGATACCTACTCCCTGCTTGCACCTACATCTGTCTGCATGTTCTTATTTGCAGGTGAAATTGTCGAAACAAACGCCAGGTTAAGTCCACTTTCAAATTCAAATGGCCTCTGAATAAGCTATCCTTATTTACTTACAGAAGTTGCCATTCTGACATCATAAAATATTTTACGTTTTTAGCTGATGGAAAGTTTTTATTGTTTTTAGGTTATCGTCTGAAGACAGCGAGGAAGCTTCCGCTTATTTTTATGATAGTGATGATTCTGGTGAAACAGGAGTAAAGTCTTATCACACAGGAGAAATGGACTTGCTGGGAGAGATTTTGGACACGCTGAGCACACACAGTTCAGATCAAGGAAAGCTCTCAGGAGCAAAGAGCCTGGATTTCTTTAGATCAACGGACGATATTGATTATAAGGCTATGGTTAGTCATCTTTTTCATGTGTAAAACAACCTCATTAATTTAGAATAGAAGCTAGTGGAAGCTGCAGTTATGGCCTGTTTATAGAAGAATGGTTCATACGGTCACAACTGTGCCTTGCTGCTGCTCCAAAAAACAGAAGCATGTTTTTCTAACAAACTCATGCTGATAGCCACAGTATGAATGCACATCAGCTGAAGATTTGGGTATACTCCTAGCCAGCTTATCAATGGTGTGCCATTAGAAGCGGTAACCACATCTAGGGCTAGTTGGGAATCCTACTGCACAGTCTTCTTATGTTCTGTCCCTCTATTCCCTGGGCAGGAATTGGTCTCAGTTATAGTTCTAGAGGCTGTTAATATTAATTTGGTCTCCCCTATTGAAAGTAGGTGTAAGTATATCACTCTGGGGAAGTTTCCCAGCTTGTTTAAGTCGTTGGATCCAAGTAGTCGTTGCTTTAGAAACCATTTCATTTTCGGTGTAGCAGTTTAAGGCTCCATCCTGCAAATGGGTCTGCCCACTCGAGGCCTCTAATTCAGTTCACAGTCCCATTGGACCCAGGGCAAGATCAGAGCTTCTGCTTGAATCTTTAAAATCTTCATCAAATCAGCTCCCTGGTGTTGGTGGCCACTGTCAAAATACTTTTGTATCTATAAGTTCCAACTCCTGTGTTTGGTGCTTAAGATTTGCTGTTGTCAAAAGCACTCCCATATTAGCGATCATTGGCTGGAACAATTAACTCTGATGCTAATCCATATCAACATTGATGTTATAAGCACCACACAAGGATTGCATTAATAAAATGTCCATTTTGTTTGTGAACTAAAAGATGTACACCTCTACCCCGATATAACGCGACCCAACATAACACAAATTTGGATATAACGTGGTAAAGCAGTGCTCCGGGGGGGCGGGGCTGCGCACTCGGACGGATCAAAGCAAGTTCAATATAACGCAGTTTCACCTATAACGTGGTAAGATTTTTTGGCTCCCGAGGACAGCGTTATATCGGGGTAGAGGTGTATAATAAATGTGTGTGTAACTGATTACTGAAACGAAGAATAGAAATCCCAGTGATTATGGGTGAGACAAAGTGGGTGAGGTGATATCTTTTATTGGACCAGTTTCTGCTGGTGAAAGAGACAAGCTTTTGAGCTTACACAGAGCTCTTCTTCAGATCCGAGAAATGTACTCAGACTGTCACAGCTAAATACAAGGTGGAAGTAGATATACCCCAAGAAAATCTGCTTCTGTACGGGAGAGGGGGGGAAACCTCTGACCGCACACCTCTAGTTGTCACCTACCATTCCACACTGGAACCCACATGAGGTATCATTAAACAATTACAACCCATGGGGACCACATCCTGAAAGAAATCTTTCCCAAACCCCTTCTTCTGGCCTTCAAACAACCCCCCAACATCATTATCAGAAGCAAGCTCCCCAGAGATCAGACATACCAATTCAGAGCAGCACCAGACCCTGCCAGAACAACAGATGCAAAACCTGTAGACATATCTCTTCTGCTACAATGAGCAATGTCCCCCACAACACACCTTTCAAGATCTGTGGGTACTACACATGCCTATCACAACATGTAGTGTACCTCATCCAATGCACTAAATGGCTCAATAACAATTATGAGGTGAAACCAGGCAATCACTACGGTCTCGAATGCACTCACACAGAAAAGTGATAAAAGACAAAAACACCCTATTCACCCAGGGGCAAACACTTTTCACAAAGTGATCACTCTATATCTGACCTGTCAGTCCTCATCCTCAAAGGAAACCTGCACAGCACTTTCAAAAGGTGAGCCCAGGATCTTAAAGTCATAACTGTGCTAGACACTAAAAATCCTGGTCTTATAAAAACATTGGATTTATGGCTTATTACAACAATCTGTAACCCACTAACCCCCCTTTTTTGTCCTATGACTGGAGACGAGTTAACTGTCCAATTCACCTTGAAAGGTCTTACAGTGTGTTTTAACTACTTATGCTAAACAACCTGTTCCACCTTGCATTTAGCAGTGACCTTGGGAATATCTTTCCCAAACCTGGAGAAGAGCTCCATGGAGTTTGAAAGCTTGTCTCTTTCACCAACAGAAATTGGTCCAATACAAGATATTACCTCACCCACTTGGCTCTCTAATATCCTGGGACCAACACTGCCAACAGTGGCCAGGGGTCTGAATCTCAATTTCTTATCTCATAATGCAAAACCACCATTGCAGTTGACACACGCTATAACTTTGTTTACTGCACAGCTGTGTGGTCAAGGTTGAATGGGCAATGGAGACTGAACTCCTTTGTCATTCCTAGAGGTGATCTTTAAACGTCGGGATGAGGCAGTGTCAAAAAGCTTGCATTGCAGTTTCCCTGCTATGCCGTTCTGTATCTAGGGAAATCCAGGGGATGTATATCCTTTCATGAACACAGGATTTTTCTTTCAGTGATGCGAGTGCAAGGGTTCTTCTTGTGACATTAACTATAACAACACATGTTCTTTGTTTCAGAACAAGTCTAGTGCACCTAGCGAGAGCAACCTCGCTCTGCTCTGTAGTGGTACTAATGATCCAGTGGAGTGGAATCTTGGTCAGGATGATAGTGTTCTCCAGGGGAAACAGCTCCCTCCATCTCCAAGAAAGCAAGTTGATTTTAGTGACCAGATGGAATCTGTCTCTGTGCTGCAGGAGGAAAATAGTGACAAAATCCTTAGTGCTGACCATGTGGATTTCTCTAAAGATTTTGTAACGTCAACTTCTCCAACACAATCAGTTGCACAGCTTGCTTCTCTGGAATTTTCCCAAGTAGATGACTCCTTCCATAGGAAGATAAAACCGAATGAAACACTAAGCAATACCTCAGAGGATCAGTTCCCAGTGAACCTTTGTCAACATCCATCCATTCTAATTCCTTGGCAAAAAGAAGGGGATGAAGGAAAGGAAACCCCAGAAGAAAGCGGGCTTCTTCATGAAGTTGTGTCATTATGTAAAATGACCTCTGCTTTCCACCACAGTTTAAACATTTCAGAGGATAATTACCCCAGTAATAGCAGTGGAAATAAAGTGTAAGGGAACTTTGAGAGGAGAAACTACTTCCATGAGAGGTTAAAGAGAGACTACTCAGGAGTCCACGTAATACATGATAACCAAAAGATCACAAAGGAATAATTACTTTTACATTTTAAAATACTTCTGTTTGTTTAGTACATGGATTTAGATATCTGCTTATATGTTTCTCAGTTAATTTCTTGGCTGTGTTTAAGTCCACAAGATGGAACTAAATATACGAATGCACTCTTAAATCAGGTACTAGTTTGTATGTATGTGAAATATACAACTGGTGCATGGTGCTTACTAATGTTCCTTTGTGCAGCAGGAAGTGTATCGCCTTTGCATATATCCAGATACTGAAGGTACTGTATTAATCCTGTTGGGCATGAAATGAACAAAAACAGTTTAGATTTGTCTGAAACTTACAAATATCGATGTTTGTAATGATTTAATTGCCTTAATCATTTGGGAAAAGGTTTAAATATCTTAGAAGATGACTTGCAAACGTTCAGAAGAGCAATAATGATTTTCCATGGCAGGTATCTGCTTGAGCAAAGGGGAAAAAGACCTTTTCTAAACTAAAGGATCTCTTGTGACTAATAGGGAGCTTGTTATAAACAGAAACTGTGGCCATGTCTTCCAGACCTTGAAAAGGCGGTGCATACTTTTCTCTTATGAAGTGCTGAATTATAATGTGAAGTTACTTAACTTCTGTTTACCACTAAGGCACTTTAAAGACATATTATCCAGTGTCTCAATGTAGATGTTTTCATCTAGGAATTTTCAGAAAGGAAAGTGTACGTGAAATTGATAGATTTTATTGCTGTTTTTTAAATTTCTACAGTGTAATCATTCTGTACTAAAATTAATTTGTGCCACTGCTGAACATGACCATTTGATTTTTACAAGCCACCTTTAAAAGAAACATTACATTATTGCTTTTCTTCTTAGGAGTTTTGTTTAGTTGAGCTGTGCAGTATTTTAAAGAGCAGTGAATGAAGATTACTTATAACACTAGACATCAAAAGTAATTGGTTCAGGAATTAAGAATGCAAATACCCCACTCTCATGTACCAGAGAAGCGTTTTGCAATTACAAGGAAGGGAATTAAATGGATGCTGCATGTACTATATTCAGGCATAAATGTTTACCCCCCTTCGAGCACGTGGCATTCCTAAAGGATATTTCTGTATTTAAAATTCAAAAAGTAGATTCCTCCCTGAGTGGAGCACATCTATTCATTGTCCTTGTCCACCCCGCTTTGTCCCATACCCTCTATGGATCAGAACGAGTACATTCTGGGGTGAACCACACTAGGCCAAAAATGGCAACTTTGAATACTGTCTATTGGCATATGTAACACAAAGCAAGGAGTAACAGGATTTGTCATTGCGAGGAATGCTCTCCCACTCTTCCTCACCAACAGCAGGATCTTCTTCTGTGGCAAGGACGGCTTAGTGGTATCCTCAGCACAGACCAAGGAGAGCAAGTTGAAGAAGTCAGGGGTTAGGGGCAGGTTGGGCTGCAGTGACTTTGGTAGTGGATCACTGCACAGGTTAACACCAGTTGTCACGTTTGGGTTTACAAAGGAAGTTTCCTCTTGGCTAATGCGATTTGGCTTTTCTTTTCCCATTTTATCACCATGGGCATCAGGCAATTGGTTATGTCAGGTGGCTCAAGGGAATTGGTGTGTGATCCCTTTGGGGAGGTTGGGGGGCGGTGGCTGATGCTCTGCCCATGAGATCTAGTGTCTAATACTATCTTGTCATTTCACATAACTTTGTTGGCAACATCCCTGGCATTGTAAAAGAAGGTCTTGTATCCCAAACTACAGACTCCGGATGGGTGAAAAGGAGCGGGGAGGCAGATTTTAGCAACACCACTGGTGAGGATGGGCCGCATGACTGGGTAATGGTATGAGGCCCCTTCACCAAAGTGCCCCGTTTTACGTGCAAGGGAAAGGGTCAGGTTGTGGACTCACAATTCATAATACAATGTCCTTGGCTGATTAGAACATGAAAGTTTTTATAGGTGTGTTCAGTATATGTTTCTGAAGAGGACCTCAGCAGCTTATTGGTGCTGAGGATGATTGTAAGATTTGCATCCTGATCTGTCTTAGGGTTTTCTGTAGTACCTATCACCATAATATCTGAGATGCAAGTGGAGTCTTTATTTGTGTTATCCCAAAAAGTGGCACTTGGCAAAACTGTGTTTGAGTTACTGAGGACCAAAATTATTATTAACCCATAAACTATTAAACATTTTAGCTGGGTTATCCGATATCAAGAAATAGGAAGTGTCAGGTCTGAACAATGTTTAAATGGGGGAGCTCGAAGGAAAACACAAGATGTTGCAGGAAGTTGTACAGGGAATCTGGAAGTGGCATTTGTCTTTGTTGGTCCTGAATCAGTACCCAAGTAGGTTATGCTGTGCTGTTAGGTGCATTTAGGATAAGACAGGAAAAAGAAAAGTCCTAGCAATCTCTTAGCACTTCTCGTTTGATTGTTACTCTGATAACACTAGAAAAATGAAATGTTCAGTTGCATTCTTATTTATATAACTGCATTTTGCTAACCTTAATTCCCAGATTCATCTGAATACAGTATTCTTTTCCTGTTGTGTGGTGGTCCTGTGTACAGTCCCACTCTTGAGAAGGCTGCTTTCCTTTGTAGGTTTAACAGGGTTGCCACTCTCTGGTAGTGTGCCTCCTTGCATATAGGTCAGGGAAAGTCGCTCTTGCTGCATCGGGTGCCCCCTTGCTGCTCATCGCTTGCTCCGCAATAGCCCTTCTTCAAGTAACTTGGCCCTCCAGCTAGGTTACCATTTAGTCCACCCCTCCCGGTGGACTTACAAAGTCCAACAGGACAACTGCCCAAATGCTGTTGCCAGATGCATTCAGCCCTCCTTGGGCTCTGTGCCACTATACCAGTGGCAGGCAGGGAAACCCGGACCCACCTGTTATACCAGGTTCCAGCTCAGGGACCTTATAACCAGCAATCCAGGTCCTCATTCCCATTCCCTGGCACTGTTTCCCCAGTCTCCTTCCTACCAAGCCTCCGTATCTTCTCTTTCCTGGTTCTCAGTTTACTACTGGAGCCTACTGTACTTCCCGTGGCTACTTCACCCCTCCTAGCCTCTTGCCAGACTCCTTACACCAGGAAAGGATCCCAGAGCTTACTCTCGCCCTGGACTTCCTCCTTGCTCCGGGAGGCCTCCCTCCTCCCAGGGGAGCAACTGCGGACTCCTTTACCTGCAAGCTGCCAGCTGCTTTCAGCCTCTTGGTTTTTTAGGGCTGGCCCAGCCCTCCCCCAAGCTGGGCTTCCCTCTCAATTAACCCTGGCCCTCCTTCTCTCAGGTGATGTCAGGTGACCTAATTAGTGTCTCAGGCCCTCATTCACCCTATTAGGGCTGGTGTGGGGTGCACACCATATCGCAGTAGGTGTAGTGAATTCTTGGGTAGGGCTAGGAGGAATCAGAATGAGCTAATGTGAAAAGACATTAGGAATCTACTAGGATAATAGGCACTATGCCCATTTGTAAGATGTTCTATTAAATGCTTTTATATCTTAGAAACTTATCAGTTTCTGTCTTGGAGGAAAAAATAAGGTTATCAGAAATTCTAGTCATGTTTACTTTTAAATCTATAAAAGCATCTTTCAGGAATGCAGCATGAGATTTAAGGATGGGGTTTTCAAAAACATCTAATGGACCAGCTTTCACTGACTTTTGATAGGAGTTGGGCACCTGACTCCCTTAGGCACTTCAATGGAGGAGAATTTGTAGGCCATACCAGGTTGCTAATGTCCCTTTAATGATTATTAGGAGTATAGCACTGAAAAAAATGATTTGGGAATTGTACAACATTGATGCCTTGATGGGTTATTGTTTTATAAGTAATATTCATGTCTCTGATAAGTGAAATTGGAGAAATAGAAAGTAAATAGATGGCTGTTAAAATTCAACTTTTTGAATTATTTTTGATTGCAATAGCCATGAATGTGTTAGGGTTGCCACACTAATGTCAAATCCTTCCCATATTGCTGATGTGATTCGTAGAATGTTTACAGTATTTTGACTATTGTGTCTTCCTTCTTTTTGAACCTACATACCTTAAAATAGAGCCTCGTTGTCTATGTCTGATTAATTTAAATTTAGCCACATTTTTAGATTCTTTACCACTTGATATCAAAGGTTTTTTTGAAAGGCTAATATTGGTGCCTTATTTAAACATACAAAATTACCCGGCATCTTCCATATTAACAACAAAAAACCAGTTAACCATGCCAAATTTATTAAATAGAGTAGCAACTCTATCTCCAGCCAACACAGCTCTACTCTGTTCTTAGTGCAGTATCAGTCTGTCTGTAGGCCATGTCTACAGTATTTTGATTATCACAGAGAGTCCCATGGTAAGAAAAATTGTCCATGTCAAGGATTTTACAAGTTTTCAACTATTCTCATCTGTGTGAATTCTCCTCATGCCTTCTAAAGCATCAGCATTAATCTCCATCTACTGGTGAGAGCTGAACTCAGTTCAGTGAAAAAGCTGCTCAGGACTCCAGTAGAGGCACTTGTTTTTTAGCTGAATCAGTATCTTTATGAGCTTCCCATTTTCCCCCCATGAGGGAAATATGAGATTTTTTTGATTTAACATTGCACTCTCTTATCCATACTTAGGGACAAAGTCCTGACCTAGTCAGTTACACTGGGACTTGAATTTCAGGTCTTCAGTTCATCTCTAATAGATTATGCACCGCGCCTCCATGAAGTGAGCCATATCCCCATTCTGCTTAGAAAAAAACAACCTGAGAGCATCAGGAGAAGGGAGAGACACTCTTCAGGATTCCCCTCTCTGACTTTTCCCTGTATTGTTCCATTGGGGTGATACAGCCGGGCCCCTCAACCCATGAGCAGAGGGTTCAGCCCCCAGAACCTGTGGATCTCAGTGGGTATTCTGGAGTCCTGGGCCTTGTCTCACTTCAGCTGTTTTGCAGCATGACTCCAATGAAGCCTTTTCATCAAATTCCGCACAGGGGGAAGGATGATCTGTGGCCCCAATTATAGCCTTCTCATCTCTCCATGTGTAGATCTCCAATACTGTGAAAATTCTTTACAGAAGTCCAGGGATGGACAGGACCATGGATGCCAATCCCTGCCCTCCCTGTATGCATGCGGAGAGAGATCTGTACAGGAGATGATTGAGGAC